GGGAGGCGGGCACCGGGCCCTCGCCCGGCGGGCACCGGCTGCTTTCCCGGCCTAGCCCGCGCCCAGCGCGTGCGTGCAGGAGCGGTCTGCAAACTGGGGCTTGGCTTTGCAAATTAACCAAAAGCCAAACCAGGGGTTAAACGTGCTGGCGAAGGCCTTTTGTTTGCAAACTGTTTGCGCGGGGCACCCATCGGAACAATTGTTGAGCGTGCATCCCTGTGCCTGTGTGAACTGATGGGTGCTAATATGTTAACTACTAATAAAGGGCCAACGCTCTAAATCACAGAAGCTACAACTGGAAAGACTAAGAAAGATCTTTATTAGAAATATATACACTTTTGTGCTCACAAAAGTTATTTTAAAATTTAAGGAGCCCAGTGTATTTGAATGTGTGTTTGTTTTCATCTTAGTTTAAGGCTTTGAAATAGAGTGAATTTGAAAACCTGGTTTTAAGTTCAGTTTATATTTCTAAACTTGCAGCATCCATCGATGGCTCTCAGGAGGAAGGGCTCCTCGGGAAATGGTTGATTTCAATGGAATAAAGGTATCTTTGGTTGTACTTACTAAACCTTGACACTTGATTTTTTCAATCCATACACTAATTATGCAAAGATTTCCAGTTGAAATCTCACTAGGAAAAAAAACATGCTCTTGAAAATCAGTTCTTTCTGCACGCCAATTTTTTAAATGTTGAACTTCTAATATGTTAACAGTGTGAAGCCCACCAAATGTTTTCTGTTTGGAAGATTTTTATGAAGCTTTGAAATTATATTTCCAAGTTTAAGTGCAAATATATTGAGAGTTTCAATATCTCTTTTAGTAATAAAGTCACCTAATGATGGAAAAATTCACAAACAGACATTCTCAAAATGATCACTCTATACTCTTTCAAAAAAAATAGCTGATTTCTCATTCACAGGTATAATGCACCTTTACCTACAGGCAACCTAACTGTGGAGGGATGGCTGACACTGGAATGTGCCCTCTGCCAGTGGCAAAGAAGTTTGCTGGAGGTCAAAACTGGTTCACAGAAGCTCTCTGCTGTTGCAGGAGGTGGTGGGCAAGCTGGACCTGCGCTATGGAAGCAAAATGCCAGGTACAGAATCCCCACAAGGGATTTCTTTCTTTGCTACTAAACATGAGATGTTAGGGACAGAGGCAAATGTTTCGTAAAGATATGATAAAATGTCATATATGTGACAATTTTCCATCTTTGGAGCTAAGACATAGAATCATTTGTTTATCCTATAATACTGAAAAAAGATTTGATACAGAGAACACATTTTCTTCTATTAATTTATACACTGTTCAGGTCTTATATTAATTTATACACTGTCCACTCTTCCATTTATTAAATGAATATCAAAAAAGCAACCTAGATCGGTACAATCAGTCTCTAAAATTAGAATAACAGCTGGTGAGACTACCAATAAGCAGTTTCTAGGGAGCCAAAGCAGCCCCGCCGAGGCTTTCCTGTTGCTTCCTCTACCCTGAGACCTCCCTTTGTTTCACTGTCCCCAGCTTTAATTAACGTGCCCTCGAAATCACCTGGATTCTTGTTGTGAAATCTGTCCTGCACAAAGGAGCCCACACACTGCAGGCCTGTCCTGCTCCAGGCGTGGTCCCTTTCCGGTGACACTGACACCAAACATGACCATGATACAGCTGGTAAAACTAGGAAGCCAACATCACTGCATTGCTGTTAAGTGAATTCCACATTTCAGTTGGCTTTCGCTAGTTTTTTCCACTCATGTCAACATTGTATTTTTTAAATAGGTAACAGAAGAGGGGGTTTTAATTTTCCAGTAGTAATTTATGAACTATCAGAATTATATTTCTGAAAAAAATTCTTGTTTATCAATATATCCCCTTTATAAAGATTTTTCTTCACTAAATGATGCCTGTGAAGTATAAGTGATAATACAGTGACCAGACAGCTCAAGAATGATAAGGCGTTTGCGTGAATAACATAGCATTTCTGAAATATACATAAAAAGTCACAGTAAGACAAAATGTTTAGTGGTAGAAATAAAATTTGCCAAGCCTTCCAGCCATAAAGATAGGACGGTATCACTAAAATGCATTATTTCAAGGTTTATTTGCTAATATTCAAATGTGAAAAACACTCGGACTGCAAACTAGTTTTTATCATCATTGTTTTTCCATCTTATGATGGATTTTTCACATCGTAAGATGGTCTTGTTTGCTAAGGGAGAAGCAGGTTTAGGGGGAGCAGAATCTCCCGTAAAAGAGAATGGTATTGGTTTTGTTGTGTTTGATGAAGAAGAGGAATGGGTGGTCTGCATTGAATTCAATGGTCGGGAGTCTAGTTCGAAAGCCCACCTCACTCCCTGTCCCAGCTGCGGCCTCTGTACCTTGTTCATTTATTTCCACAAAAGACTTGTGGAAAACATTGGACAGAAACAGGTTTCTCCCTGCCGACATCCCTGAGAAGTCGGCCTTGCCCTGGCTAAAGGCGTCGCTCATCCCCATGCCGCTCAGGGCTGACTTGAGGTCGTAGGACTCTTCCAGCTTGAACTTGGGGAGGTGCAGCTTCACTTCGTACATCTCCATCATGTCTGCGCTGGTCCACTCGCTCAGCGTCTCGTAGGTGGCGGCCTTTTCCAGCTGCAGGTGGGAACCGAGAGACAGAGAGACGGAGAGACAGAGAGACAGTCAGCACTTCCAAAGGGGAGTGGAAGCAGTGGGTGAGTGAGCTCTCCATATAATTCTGCAGATGAATCAGGGGGACTCCCCTGACCCAGGGTAACAAAACACACACATTTGGAAATTCCCTGTGTCCCGACATCCTTCACAGGGCTGACCTACAGAATCTTTGTTCTGCAGATTGATAGTTCTCCGGATATCAGAGAATTCGATCTTGATTCATAATGAAAGCACTTCTATGATGATACGCCAAATATCAACTGTCCACGCAAACACATCAACACAGATATGACTTAACATGTCGTCTACACAAAAGCATATACTATAGGACAAGTTGTATGTCAGGGTACAAAAGCCATTAATTATTATTAACATGAGAGAGAGTTCTTTGGACACAAAATCTGAGATAAAATAAGATGTCCATAATCACAGTAATGTGAATTTAGTAACCATAAACAATGGAACAAAGAAAGAACAGAAAGGAAAGGAAAATCTCCAAATCTTAAGAGTAATGACTTAAAAAATTCATTGGGGTGACACTGGTTAATAAACTTACATAGGTTTCAGGTGTTCAGTTCTATAACACATCATTTGTATGCTGTATTGAGTGTTCGCCACCCCAAGTCAAGTCTCCTTCCATCACCATTTATCCCTGAGTAATCACTTTCTTTATAGTGTTTTTGAGAGTGTTTTTTCTCCTCTTTATATTTAAAAATTTTAAATAATAAATATATATGTATGTATATATACACATATACATATGTGTATGTGAAGAAGAAAAACAGTGTTTGAGTTTTTGAAGCATGTGCTTTTGCTACTTTGAGCATTTTCTAGCCCCGAGTTTTGCTGTCAATGACATACTTGTAAATGATATGCATTAAATGTGACAATATCTTCAGCTCAGGAACCTGCACTCTTAGGAAGAAGGAATTATCTTGTAAGAGTGTGACTTGGTTTTATTTTTACCATCCTCTCCAGTTTCACAAATTTTATGATATAATTGGAAATCTTTTCTACACACTAGTAGGACCATGGAAACTTCTAAATATAAGAAGCCTAGCATTCAGGAAAAATTAGGCACCATGCAAAGAAAGACAGGCCTCCTGTTACGGAGAACCCGGTGTCCAATTTAGACATGCAAACAGCTCAGGAACATCATCCAGCCGGAGTTGTGTCAGACTTAAGCGAAATGTGGCTGATAAACAACTTAAATAATACTTGAAGATAGTACTTATACAGACTGTTCCTCCTGAAGACTGTTGACTTGATAAAAATGTTTTTTTAAATCTTGGAAGTAAGTTTGATGTTTTAAAATGTATATCTAGGGCTACATTAATGGATGTGATTAAAAAACCCAATCTCCCATTAGGTCCTATCGGAGGGAGAAGAAAGACCTAGGCCCACTGAACAGTTGTCATGATCAATCCACAAGCTTTGTGGCCGTATCTGTCGTTCCCGTGGCTGTTTGGGTGGCTACCCCAGGCTCCAGGTGTCTACCCATTGCTTCTGCTTCCTAAGGAATAGGAATGGCATCCTTACAGAGACTTGTGAAGCTGAAAGGACACCTGAGGGTGAGGTACCTGGGGCTCACGGTAGGTGGGTGGCCTTCCTCTAGAGGAATTAGAAAACAAGGCGGCCGGGTTACACGGGTAAACACCTGGGCCCCCTCCACACGATACGGATGATGCCTCACCTGATCCAGCCCCCCAGCGTCTTCCGGCAGCAGCACAAACAGGCTGAGGGCGCGGCTCTCGTAGTAGAGCTGAAGGCCAATGGCTTCTGGCTTTTCTATGTGAAAAACGGGCAGCTTTTTCTTCATCGACATCATTTGCACCGGTTTGCTTGTGGTCTACAGAAAATAAGTAGCCAAGTCACTGAGGAGGTGGTCCGCCAAACCCTTCATTCTTTGCCGCCGGTGGTCCCCTCATGGGCCAAGTTGGTGATCCCCTGCTAAAAGCTGGGAATTAAATAGAATAACTACCCTACCTTCTCCAGCTTAGCTGTGGCAAGGACTGACAAAATACATGAATAATATTTTGAGAAAAAAAACAATGAAAAGGGAATTTCAAGGAGGGATAAAACTGGGAACATTCAGTTCAGCCGTTCGTGCCCTAGTAAGAGCCATACTTTATAAGAACATATATTTAAAGAGGAGTGAATTTAAAATAGAATCCCCTTTACAATGCCACGTGAAAATCCATACTGATTATCGAAAGGCTCCTACCTTGCTGATTCGGAAAGGCTTTTCTGTGGTGTCTTGGACTAAGAATTGCTGCTCCCAGGTTCCTTTAAAGTAAAGGGCATTCACCAGGACCATTCTGGTTGCAGAATCTATAGCATCATCAGGTAGGAGGTCCGGGATTTTTCCTACAAGAACAAAAGGACAGGTTTCAAATTGTACAGTTATATCTCGATGACATGCCACACTTACAAAAGTGATGATTATGAAATGCTGTTAAATGATAGAGTCACCAGTAATCCAGCCCAGGAAGTCAGCATTGATAGAATCCTATGAACAGATCTTACTCAAATTTTATCAGTTGTTCCAATAACTTCTTTTTCTGGATCAGAAGTCAATTCAAGACCTCAAGTTGCATTTAGTTGTCATTTCTTCTTAGTCGTTTTATTATTTTAGTTTCTTTTATTGTATCGTATTTTTATTTTATTTTATTTTATTTTAATTTTCATCACCATTTATCCCTCCCGTTGCCCTCTTCCATGTCCACCGGCCCCCCTCCCTCTTAGTCTTCTTTAATCTGGGATGGTTCCTCAGTGAATTTTTGCCTTCCTTGACCTTGACACTTTTGAAAAAGTTTTGTAAGAATTCCTATCAGTTCTCAGTTCAGATTAGCCGGACGCTTCCTCCAGGTAATATTTAGGTTATGCATTTTTGCAAGAATATTACTGTTGTGGGTTGAATTGTGCCCTCCGAAAAAAGATATGTCAAGCCCTAACCACTGATGATTTGTGAGCCAGCCCTGGGGAGCCTTTGCTGTGGGCTCCAGCACACCCCTCAACTGCTATGGTCTCCCACAGGCGTCCCCCACATGCTGTGCAGCTTTATTTAAAAGCTCTAAGGGCAGCTCGTCTAAAGTGTCCAGTAGGTCTGCGGTGTGGCTTGAACATGTCTACTCAAAACACAACAAACAAAACAAACACCCCTCCCCCCATGAAACAGACTCCTTGGTTTTAGAAATTAAGTTTAAATTTGGTTTTCAGTGCCCATGTGAAAACTCCCTGAAACATTTTCGTGTTTGTTTTTCTACCTGATTAAGAACAGTATATTGAACTTAATTTGAAATTTCTTTGATGATTTAACGTGGAGAGTCCCTCTATGTCATTTTTAAAATATTTTTTTGCACAGAGGAGTTATTTTTTAAAGCTCTGTGTCATTCTAAATGAATTATTCTATCATCTGATAGAGCTGCAGATGCAAGAAGAGAACATATAGAGGATTGAGATTTACATGGGTGTTGATCTCAAGCTGGTTGAGAGCCAGCTGATTTAAGTGTTATCGCTTTGTTCTAGGGATTCATAGGTTTTCAAGGAGCCTAGCCTCTAAATCCACAGCCCTGTTGTTAATTTATTTGACAAAGGAAGTACAAACTGTACTTACAGACAACTTCAAAGTAACGCAAAGCAAAATGACTCAGAATTCTGATTGTTTTACACCCTCTTGAGAGCTTAAGTGCCACCTATTGGCTCACTCATTGCTCAAGTCCTGGGTAGCTTTGGGCAATGGGAAGGGCATTGTCTTTGCAGATATTCAGGTCAAGTCCTGCAGAGCACATACTGATGTGACACTAGAGCATCCAAAGTGCCAAGCACGTGATCGATTTTGAGGTTACAAATACGTACACAATAACCTTCTCCAAACCCTCACTTTTTAGGGCCTTGTAGACTATAACGAAAACCAGAAAAAAATCGTAGCAACATATGACTGGCCCTATCTCTGAGAATTTGACTCAGAATGCCCGGGGTGTCTCACTAGTCCATATGGCTATTTGGAAAAAGGCCTGTTTGAAGGGCTAAGGGGAGAAGCTTCTTTCAAGTGGTTCAGATAGAGCTGAGTCGTGCCAAAGAGTTTCTATCAACTTTTCCATAAAGACGACACAAAGAAAAGTTCCTGAAAAGCTGATCAATCAAGTCTTTACTTACACTGATGTTGAATAGTTCCCCAAAAGCAGATATTTGCGTCCAATATGTAAAAGAACCTACAGAAAGATTTCAGCTTTCCTCCCTCGTTGGAAGGTTCCGCTTCTGAGAAATGGAGCCCACAGCTGGAGGGCCAGCTGGAGGACTGCAGTCAGCGGGTGAGGGAAGCAGGGGCTTAATCACATATTCTGGCCATGCCCAGGGTGAGCGTAGTTAGGGGCCCCCTCATTTGATAACCGCTATGACAACAGGAAAGGGTGCCCATCCTGTATTTGGACCATCTAGTGACCATAACCTGAAGTTTAATCTTTCCTCCATGATTTAAAGTATTTGTTCGGTTCTTCTAAAACAGATTTTCCCTGTTGTCGAACCTGATAGCCACCAGACAAGCACAGCAACTTAATTAAAATGAACTGAAGTTAAAAATTCAGTTCCTCCGTCGAGTTAGCCACATTTTAGATGATCTCTAGTCACATGTGGATAGAACCTGTGACTGTATCAAATTGGGCAGGGCAGGTGTGTGGCACCTCTGTCATCACAGGGAGGTTTCCCGGGCAGCTCCGTCATCTAGACAGTTGTCATGCTCCCTGAGTGTGTGGGTCCACACTGGGGAAGCCTGACCAGGAGGGCCAAGCTATGCAGCATCCGACGGCGGCCTCCCCTCGGCTCTGAAAGTCTTCACTGGGTGTAAAGAGAGCAGATCAGCTGCTTGCTCCCAGCCTTCTTATCTGTAGGGCCCCCGTCTGTCTCCCAGACAACATACTGGTCGCCAGGCTAAAAATTTGAGACTAGAGATCTAGGTCAACCCCTTACTACTCTTACTCCCACCTCTACCATGTTGAGTTGTGTGTCACCATGTGCTTTTCCTTCTACCATCCCATTTGGTCCTCAGGCAAACTAGGACAGTGCAAGTACCCAGTAAATGCCAGCTAGTTCTAATTCTAAAAAGCCGACTTACTTTTGGATGACTCCAACTCGGGAATAAATTAAATATAATGGTCACTCTTGCCTTGCCATGTCTTTTGAGTCACTAGTTCGATAAAAAAGGAACAGAGGATTTAGGGCTGCCAACTTCCTCTGTTCAGATCAATGAACATAGTATTCCAAACAACTACTGTGAGTGAGCCTGTTAATGTGTTAGTGATTCAAAGCTCAAACTCGAATATGGCAGAGCCATTGTGCTTGGGGTCCTTCAGGGGAGGCAGACGAAATGAAGCTTCAGAGTTAATTTCAATAAAACTGTGGACAGTGTAACAGTAAGATGATGCTTGGAGAAAGCGTGCAGCCCGGCACCTCGGTGGCAGCTTACCCTCAGTCTGGCTTTCAACCCAGCAGTTGATCTCCTTTCTGATTTGGTCAGAAGCTTCCAAAAAGCTCACAGACTGTGGCTCTGCACCGAAGTATGTTTTCATGTCTTCTAAATATTTCTGAAAGATACAGTAAAATCCCCTTTTGTAGAGTTTTTCCAAAACTGTGAGAAATCAAGTCTATTTAGATTATCAAAAAGGTAGGTAGAGGAATAGTTGCCCACAGACACACACACACACACACACACACACACACACACACACACACTCAGAGCTCCCTTCTCTCTTCCCCACTCGAGTTTTGGTCAAAGATTACCCCCACCCACCCCTTTAAGCTTTGCTGGGCGCTGACTAGCCATGCAGAACCCTGGGTATGGAAGGGAGGCCCGCCACCCACAGCTGTGACATCACTGCTTGAAATCTAGAGATAGTCTGATTGTGTCTGTTGCTGTGTCCACCTATCCAGTGTCCTTGCTTTTTGCCCACTGGACACCTGTGTTTTCCTGCTCCTTTCTGAGATGTGCCACAGGAGGTGATGGCCAAGTATGAGAGAAGTAAATGCTTATCCCAGCTCTCGATGGACCCTTCTAAGGAGCCCTTGAGCCTGAACTGGGGATGAAGTCATGGTCTGCACTGTGGGGTTCCGACCACCTGAGAAGGTGCGAAGTTGATATTATTCCATGTTAAGAGTCTGTTCAAAGTCCTTAAAGTTATGGCAGGAAATGACTCATCTGATTCCAACGTCAGCTTTGCTCTCGAGTACAGTCTCCAGGCGCAGTCCTATGGCCGACACCACCCTCTGCTCCTTCGGATTTACCCTGTGTCTATACTCTACATATTTTGTTCCATTTCCCATTAAACAAATGTTGGCACAGGGATTATATAAACCACATTCATATATTATTACTTTGGATAAAGTTCTGATCACTAGACCTGGTTTGAGACCTATTGTCGGTTTTCTTTACAACTAGACACTTACGGGTTGATTTAAATGACTGTTTACCAGAAATGCTGGCCCAATTAAAGTTGTCCCTGGGACCCCTAGAGAAGTGTACAGAGAGTTAGTGGATTGTCTCACATGGCTCTCTCTTGCCCATCAGCTTTAAATAACATGTTTGAACTTACACTGAGAAATGGGTAAGTTTTCTCCGCGTATATCCCGTTGGCTGTTTTAAGTACATAGGCGTTACTGGGATTGTTGATTTTGGAGATGAGTGTCTGGAAATCAGAGTGTATTTCTTCAACCTTCCCCAAGTTGAAGTCCTTTGAAAGAAAAGGGACTGGTCAGTGAACAAGAGCTGAATATATAGGAACAACCTAGAGCTAAATGAAATGATTTGGTGCATCGTGAACAAAAGCTGAAATTAATTCTAAAGCAGATAAAATGTTTTCTCTAATGCATCAGTGCAAAAAACATCGAGATAATTGAAGGCATCATTTTCTTCACATTTAGTTTGCAAAAGCAGGAACAATTTTGAAAGTAGGGCAGTTTTAAAAGGGAAGTAAAGGAGGATAAGAGAGAATGTTAAAAATATGACCCTTCCAAAAAGTATAAACATTTTGTATTATGAAAAAATTTCTATAATTTTAATACACGCTTCTAAGACTACCCAGAAAGGTTGCTTAAATTAGCCACTAACACGCAGGTGCTAAAAGTGGTTTCTCCTTAATCAGCAAATGGATATTAAAATAGAAAATATACCGTTTTCCTTTTCTTTTCACTTTCAGGATAAGACTTGATGTCCTGAGCTCTGTTAAACTGAAGCACCTGTAATTTCAATAAAGACAATAGGTGAGCTCACTTTGCAGAGAAATTATATGAGACACGCCTCGATAAAAACAAGTCCTTCCTGTAGCTACAGAACATATAATGAATGAACCAAGGGGGTTCTGATTTGATTTAACAGCGTGTTAGCTGAACTAGTACAGTAAGTCAAGAGTTGCTTTTAAATAAATTTTTTAAAAGTCTAATTTAAGTTGATCTTTAATACTTTTTATAGGACAATGGTGTTGGCAATGCCTTTAGAGGTGAAATTCTCTTATGCTCCAAGCTTCATTTTTATCTATGGTGGCTTTGAAAAGAAGGCTATGTGCTCAACTGAGACCATCATTTAGCAATTTAAGCAAAAGCCACCAGGGCCCCAATTATCTGGAAAATGCAGGGGTTTTCATTGTTTTTTTTCCTAGGTTAGTGCTTCCCTTCCCATTGTCTATCACCATTTGACACAGGGGTACATTCTTTATTTTTACCCCAGAGTTTTATTTGCAGATTAGTAGGAAGGATGTGGGCATCCTTGCTTCCCCTGAATTGTACAACAGTAAAAAACGAGGTGATAATCTCATCTCCCACATCCTGGACCCAGCTCACAATGAGGAACCAAGTCTGTTTGACCCAAGACTGTGCTGGCAAATGGTGACAGCACAGGAACCATCTGCCGTACGGAAAAGTGAAGCTGTTAATGTTTAAATAATTACTAAATAAAACAAGGGCAAGCAACTCCCAGCAATGTATTTATGTGAAATAGACCAAACTGAACTCACCCAAGATTAAGTCTGTCGCATGAATGGCTAAGATTTGATAATAATTATTAACCAGGGTGTGTTGTTGCTGTTTTAAACCATATAGCGTCTTGTGAACTGTAAGAATAGGGGTGATAGCCTCAGTCTAAACTCTCAGAATAGATATTCCGCCTGCCTCACTCAGAATTACTGGCTGTACCCACGTCCATCCTTGGCACAGAAGACACCTCCCTGGGTGGAAATTCTGTCATTCGGTCTCTCCATTGTTGTATGATTTAGGGCTGGGTTTACTCTTTTTTGTGTTTATTTTTATTTAAAACACACACACGTATATGTCTAAGTTTACACATACATTCCCATAGATACATACATGGCTATTTTATTATGTACTTTATCTATGGTCATACATATACACACACACATACTACGTTTTGAGGATGCTTGCAACAAATCAGTAATTGCTTAAACAATAATATTGTTTTTCATTTTCATGCTATTAATGGGCTTTTTAGGTTCACCTAGACAAATAGGGGCTGAAAAAAGAAACAACCAAAGAACAAGAAACAGAATTCACGTCATTTTCCTATTTGTGTTTTCAAAAAAATCCTTCTGAAATTCAAACCATACTAATTCTACAATTTAATGGTTGAGCCATTATTCCTTGAAATGTCTTCAAAATCCAAATAAAATTACTTTTGGTGCTGAACCAAACTTGATAACCTCACCATCTCTCTCTCTATGATTTTGCTAGAGAACACAGGTTCTTAAATGGTTTTCCAAGCAAGTCAGCTTCCTTTCCCAGACTCCTTTTTATGGTCTAGAAAACTTTTTTAAGTGCATCTTTCATTTCATCAGAACTTTGAAGGATATAGTTCTAGAATGTGAGATATTTGGAATTTGGGAGAAAAATGAAGGTAAAAGGTAAAGAAAGCATTTTGTTTTAAGGCAACAGAGGGTGACTGAGGTTTGCCACTCACCTGGGCTATTTGGGATGCAGTGGCACCTCTGGTGCCCAAATACAGCATGGCCAAGGACACTGAGATGCCCCATGGAGAAAAGAAAATATTTTCACCCTCAGCAGATTCAGCTATCTTTCTGCTAAATTCCAGAGCAAATTGGTTGATTGATTTTGTTAGAGAATCCATTGGGAAAATCTAAGAAAAATAAAAAAGAGAGAGAGAGAAACATGTTAATAATCCTTTCCATTCATTTTACTTTTATAAACCATTTGTTAATTTATATATTATCTTTTTAATTATCCTTCTGTGAAATGACAAAAATATATATTATTGAATTTATATTCCTAAGACCTGAGTGGGCTTATAGGCTTTAAAAACATTTGAGTCCAACATTATTATTTTACAGATTGGGAAACTGAAGTCCAGAGAGTTGAAGAGAGTTGCCTCAAATTATAGTGCTGATGACATCAGAGAACAGCTGGGTTCGGGTCTGTCAGCGGCTCTGGGATGAGACTCATGATAAAAGTGGCGGTGGAACCAGGGTCCCTCAGTCCCTCAGCCAGTGCATCTTCTCAGTACACCCATGACTGCTCACTCCACACAGAAAATGAGAAATAAGGGTGCATCTCAGCAACTTTGTAGTTTTTCTCACTTTTCATCCATATTTTTATTTTTTTAAATGCTTTTATTGGTTTTTAGGGAGAGAAGAAGAGAGAAAGAGAGAAACATCCATGTGAGAGCTGAACATCAGTCGGCTGCCTCCCGTGCGCCCCCTACTGGGGATCGAGCCCGCAGCCCGGCATGTGCCCTGACCAGGAATTGAACCGGCGACCTTTAGGTGCGACGCCCAACCAACTGAGCCACACGGGCCAGGGCCATATTTTTATTTCTAAGCCTTATTTATTGCTTTACACCTTTATATACAATAATCCTGGTTTCTGGAATGCCTTTATTCTTCTTAGTTCTACTGAAACCCTACTCTATCCAAGTTTCTCTTCTTTCCTGAAAGCTTCTCCTGACCTTTCGGGTGCACCGGAGCATGCCTGCCACCAAGGTCCCATAACATAGCTTTGGCCACCTACTTAGCATTTGCCACACTGCTAGTTCTGTTTCCCTGTGTTTCTGTCTCTCCAACGCCAGGGTAAGGCCCTCCAGAGGGAAATTTTCTTATGCTACTTGTAACATCCCAGAGCACCTAGCTCAGCACTTTGCACAAAATGGATGCATATAAATACTTGTTTATTGCGTTCATTGTCTGGGCTCTAGCCACCATTTTTTTTATCCACTTAAATTAAAAATCATGCACAATTTAGTGAGAAATGTTTGTAGAGAAATAGAGAAGCCAAGACTTTGCCTTCATTCTCACACACCTGAGACCCTCTGAAACTGGGCTTCTTGAACAAAAGGAGTCAGTTTCTCTCTCTCTCTTTTGACATTATATTTAACTTCTAAATGCCACATTTAGTTACCCTAACATTTTAATTTAAGCCTTTTCAGACAGTGTTTTTATTTTTTTTTAAATAGTTCAACTTGTTGCCATTTTATAGCCAAATAATTACTCAACCTGGTTAAACAACTCAAAATAAATCAAATTCCTGGGCCTAGAACCTCCTTTTAGTGCTAATGTTGACTAGAACTGAGTCTTCCACAGACACCACCTGACCCCCTGAGAAAATTAGAGTGAGAACTTGAGAAAAGCCAGTTATCTCTGGTCCAACAGTTGAATCGAGGGAGAGGCGTGTGTAGACAAAGTCTTGGCTTCATCATGACTGGGATTAAGTGATACTATTGAAATCCCTCCTAGCTACAGCCTTACACTTAACAAACAGCTTCCCAGCCTCTAAATCATGCCCTGGTTGTAGCTTCCGCCTGTTCTAGAAGCTGATGCTAATCCTAGGCTGACATTGTTGATTAAAGAAAAAAACAAAAAAAAACAAGTCTAGTTTTGTAGTAGTGCTACACCCTCATAAAATATTACCAACTTACCTGTGAGTATTTTTTGCTTATCAGATTCAATGCCAACTTGGAAATAACCTCCCTTTTTCCCTTAGGGCGACATTCATTCAGATAGCACCTTGCTTGCGGCCTATCCTTTAAACTTTTTCTTTTCAGAACTCATGAATTACATTCATACGGAAAATGTTTGGCTAGTTAGCCAAGCCGTACTCACCATGAAGGGAAGAGAGGAGAAAGTACTGTCTTAGGGTCTGGGATTTTTATCTTTCTACCTGTGGTTACTCTAGAATTTAGTTACTTACAACAAATTCCTGAAAACAATAATTCTCTTTAATGAAACAGCTAATTTCTTGTGCAAAGTTAATACCCAGCTATCTTCCACTTCATGAATTCTTTCATTAAGATCATTATCAATGTATCAGATGTAGCCCAGATATATTAGCCCGGATACAAAGCAAAAATTCCTTTATTTTTTTGAAAGAAATTGACAGAATTGCTAAGCCAGCCATTAGTAAAATTTAACCCAACAGTGAAAAGTGTTGTCTGAAGGATGCAAAATTTTAGGATGCAATTTTATAGGAAATAATTTGTCCATATAAAGGTTGAACAATGGTTTTGTTCAAAGAAGACTATTAATCTCTAAATCGGAAGCCAGCTGTGCCATTTGTAGAATAAAATGCTCTTATGCTTCATCTGCAAAGGGCCTTAGGGGAGAAGCTAGGAAACTAGGAAAATAAGAAAGCGGTTGTGCCTTTCGTCAGAGTGTTTCGTTGTAGAGACACATGCTCCTGCACATCAGAACTGAAAAGAACCTCAGGGTCCCCCGAACCCAATTGCCTCATTTTACCAGCTAGGAAACTAAGACGCAGAGAGGTTAAATGTGCCAACCAGCAGCACAGCTACCTGGCAGCAGAGTTATCTCTGCAAACCTGTTCTCTGGATTCTCAATACAATTGCTTTTCTCATTGTATCTCATTGTCGCTGAGATTTTAATGGCAAAAGGGAGGAATTGGGCTATAAAAGAGGGTGGACAGGAGGGCGAAATGAGGGGTGATGAAGAGGAGGGCCTGGGACGGAGTCCCCTGCCCTTTCCATAAGAGGATGTCCAAAGTCCCTTGACCTGATGATCTGCTGATGTTTCCATCTATATCCCGAGTCGTGCATATCAGAAGATGGCCACCCCCCGCCCCAGCATGTCTCTACACCGTTTTCCAAGGGAAGCAATAGCTTGGGGTGCTTTCTGATGAGCACCTCGTGTAAGGTTGGGGGTGGCTGGGTAGGGGCTTAGATTATTCCATGAAAGAGAAGAGTGTTATTGGCTCCTGAAATGGTGGCTAGGGCAGGATGTTGGGTGGGGACCATGGGTAGTCAAGCCATTGGACCCACACATTAATGACTAGGGTCAAATTCATGTTGCCAAGCGAAGGGTAAGGGTTTGGGCTCAATTATTTGGAGAACATTCTATTCCTCTTTGCCTATGTTGACAGATACAGAGGTAGCAAATCCAGAAATACGACTGAAAAATGCTCCATTCATAGTTTCGCAGTCCTGGTAAACTATTTCTCTCACTTCTTTGGAAATGAATACTCTTCTCGCCCCCCCTCCCCCCACCCCCAGCCCTCTTTCCAGTAGAAACTTTGAACCAGCTCAAGGTTAAATCTCTCTGACTTGCACAGAATTCTTGGGAATAGAGCTTTATATACTATTTCTGTTTCAGGAGCTCTCGATCACTTGTTATTTAGCTAGGCACCTCAACAAAGAACAAAAGCATAAATAAACATTTTTAAACAAAGAAGCATTTACAATACCTTATCTTCTTCCCCTAGAGCAGGATTGGAAACTCGTTCCTAAAATAAGAAATTGTGGCTGAGTTAAGTAACTTTTAACTGTAGAAACGTTAAAAAAAAAAAAATGGCCCCTCCCTCTCCCAGGCCCCACCCCTTTGACTCACTTCCACAGGCCCGCGCTCGCTCCCATTCGGGCCCACCTTGGCCGGGAGCTCCAGCCAAAGGACAAAGGGAAAGCTGAGCAAGGTTCTGCCTGAATTCTTTACTTACCCACCTTTTCCATGTCTGTCCACATATGGAGGCCTGAATTCCCACAAAGTGTAACTCACAGTTTCCTTGCTTAATCTCGCCTCTAGTCTGCCAACTAGAAGCAGTGAGTATTTTTTCAAGAAAGAAAGCAAAAGAAAGAAAGAAAGGAAGCTAGCTTCAAATCTGTGGGCAACAATGGGCGAGGAAATGGGACAATTACCGGTGACGTGTTTGCTGTGAAAGCCCCTCCTCGCGTTCCTGCTGGTGCCCAAGCCCTAGAGTAACTACCATGAGTGGAGCGTCCAGGCCCTGCCCCGGGGACAGGGGGCTCTGGATCAAGGTTTCGGACACAGTTCCTGAGTCCGACGTTGCTTCATCATTTTCTGGTTGTCTTTTGTTTCTCCCTGTAAATGTTCCCCTCGCTCCCCCGTATTTATTAGAGAGGAAGATAGTAGGTCATAGTTGCTTTTCCTGTCACAGCCGCATTGCACAGAGGACCGGAGGAGGGAGTTAGGAGAGGGCTGGGGACCTGGGGACAATCCCGAAGGGGTGAAGGGAGAGGAGGGGCCTCTCTGTGTGCAGTGCCCCGGGTGTGTTCTCCTGCAGGCGGTTTTTAGTGCTCTCTGCCTCGGGGCGCACATACTCCATCCCCTCTGGCAAACTGGCTCAGAGCTGAAGAGTTGAATGTCCGTGTGGGACCTGGAGCAGAAGGCTCCTCCGGGGTTCACCAGGGACTGTGACCTGTGCTAGGAAGCTCTGAGATGCCCGCCTGACGCGTGCTGAGCAGATGTATTTTCCATGGATGCCTCCAGGCTATTCTTAGCTGCAGGCGTCATCTGGAGGCTCCAGAGAGAGGGACTGTTTGTCGTGACAGGCAGCAGTCCACCAGAGAGGGACTTGGGCTGCCTCTCTGCACAGTAGGAAGACACTCTAGAAATCCTGCATTAAATGCATCAATGTAGATGCTACTCAAGCAGCCAAAAACTTAGCCTGTCTTATCCCCCCCCCAAAACCTTCCCCAGATTCTTTTCTTACTTCCCTCTTGATAAGGTAAGGGGGGGCATGCTAACAAGGGCGTAGCTGCACAGCCCCAACTGGATGGGGAAAGTCTCCGTCCTGTTGGCTGACACAGGACGCCGGGAACGCCTTTATGAGGGTGTCCCAATAGCAGGGACACCGGGCAGGCAGGCAGTTCAGTGCAGGCTTCTCCCTGGAGCCTGCTTTGCATGCGAGGCCCCTGTGTAGAAATGGCTGCTAGGCTCTGTTTTTAAATTCGAGCCCAGCTGGCCTCCAGGAGCCCTTCCTTGTAGGGCACCTTCTCTCTCAGGGTCATCACCTGTGATAAATCTGCAAGGCGTTGCTGCTACTTGTTCACTATACAGCATGGCTAGAGATGGCAGTGGGCACTTGGCAGTCACAGGCCAGATAAAGGTTGAAGAGCTTTGTTCGTCAGTTCTCTTCTGGGTGGCATTTTCCTCTAAGGCATTGATTTCTCCTTCAAGAGATGACAATATGACAACTTCTTTCTGGCCCATCTGCAGCTCCCTTACCCACCCAGGAAGTCACCCCTCTCCCGCGGCAGCTGGTGTCACAGCCTCTGGAAGCAGCTTGTCAGGAGGCAGGGCTGGCTGTGCCTGAAGCTCCTCGGCTTCGAGAGTCTTAATAGAAACGCCTTTCACAGACATGTCTGTACACTGATGAGCCGTGAGCTGGCTCTAGAAGGAAAGTCCTGCTCCTGTGAACTGCACCTGGAGATGCCTTGAGCTGGGGCGGGGAGTTTAGCTTGTGTAGGCAGGAGGGGAATGAAATGTGAGAAGGAGTGGAGGTGGAAACCATCCATCCATCCACCCAGCCATGTACCCATGCATTTAGGCATTAATCAATCAATTTCTTTTTTTCTTCAACAAGTAACTATACTCTGGGTCTGGCTCTAGAATTAGAAAGACAAGGCGTGTCCTGCCTTCAAGTTGCTCAGTCCTGTGGCCAAAACAGACATGCAAACAGAAATTCATTATACACTGTGAAAAGCACCATAATAGAGTGCATTCGCGTGGAGAGGCGAGCATAGCTTTTGGAGAGGGAAGAGTGGCCAGAGAACTTTTTACAGAGGTTACACTCATGCTATGTCTAAGGCCAAGGGACCTGGAGGAGGGCTGAGTTGTGATCCTTCTTGAGAGTGTCATAGATGAATGTGTGGCATGTGCGAGGATGCCCTCCATGTGAACAAGAGTAGTGGGGAGGTGGAAAAGTTGTGCAAGGTGCTTGATTGTAAGGAACCTCACAAGTGTGGCTACAGGATTTGTGCTTTTTTCTACAGGAGATGGGGAGCATTATGAAGGGGTGCGATAACAATCAGAACTGCACTTTGAAAAACCATTCCCCGTGCTCTTCTGTGAATGTGGAAAAGAGTCCAGATGGCAACCTACTGTCCAGGCAGGAGGCGCTGATAGCCTGAACCCAGGCGGGCAGGGTGGAGGTGGCAGGCGATGCTTTCTGGAAAGTGGCTCTGGCACAGGTGAAGGAGAGACATGGAGGGATGTAAGACAAGGCTCATAAGTCTAATGCTGGGGCACCTGGAGACCTGGAAAGCGGGCTGCAGGCATGATGGTGTGGGTGTGGCATGTAACCTATTGTTTGAGAGCTCCCAGGACGCCAGGTCAAGAGTTGGCTCGTGACTTTCAAACAGCTGGATTTCTGTCCAGAAATGGTAATGAGGGGGGTGTCATCTGTGGGCGTCCACGTTTCACTCCATATGGGCTAAAACAAAGGGTGAGTGATACTGAAGTGTCCTGATCCCTGTTTCTAAATTAAAAACTGACCGTCTCTGGACAGGGACGGCCTCTTGCTTCTAGTTACACAGGACTCCCTGAGAGAATAAATAAGACCTGCCTCGTGGTGGGAGCTGGGGAGGTTGCAGCTCTTTATCAGCCCTTCAGCTAATGCAGCCCCTTAGCGAGAGCTGTTCTTAGCAGACTTTCATCTGTCAGGAATACTTTGTTTCCCCAACCAAAGAGAGAAGAATATCTTTCACAAATGTGCTGGGATCGCATTCAGGACACAAAGACATCAGGTGGTTTGGAAGAATGCTAACTGTTCCCCATCTTGTTCCATCTGCAGATCTTGATTGGTTTAATAAAATAGTTTGAATCCAACTCTGAAGGCTTCTCTGGTGTGGACAGCAACAGACCCAAATGGCTGTTTGTTTTTCAGCTGAGCTATGAGTTGGGCTCGGGTGACAGGAGGTGCCATCACCGAAGGCTGGAGAGAACGGAGCTGCGGGAGTTACGGAGCCGTGATTTTGTGCGTGCTCGGCTCCTCCTCTCTCTTTTCTTCCTTCCCTCCCTTCCGCCATTCCTTCCATCTATCAACTTTAATCTCCCGCTTAGCCCAGGAGGACCTAGTTTAGTGAAAATCCAGGCATAGTCCCCTAGAGGTGACAGGGACGCGGTGAGTACACCCCCTGGCACTTGCCTGGCCCCTCGCAGAGCGCCTTGTTTTCAGTCCCTCCCTGCCGGTCAGCAGGCTGCATGGCCAGGTGCTGAACTCAGATTCATGAACCGGTCTCCCTGGCCTGGGAAGCGCAGCCCGGAGCTCACCGAGGGCTGGAGGAGAGGGCTTCGGGGTGACAGGAGACGGACAGCACTGCTCCACGAAATAGACAGTCACCTCACTGCCTGGAGCCCAGATGCATCATAACAGCAGAGGAGGCATGGCCCAAAGTCCAGAGCAACTGCAACACCGAACTCCATGGAGGCCGAAAGCCTGAGACATGTCAGACCCTGGCCACTCCTCTCACCATTGTCTGGGTTGGAAAAGCCCAGGCTACCCCCACCCCTGGGAATGACTCCACCCCAGTGCTTCTCCAGGGAGGTACCCACATTCCACCCCGTACCCCAATCATCCTGCCATGCTCTCTTTTCTACCTGGTGGATATGGACAAGCCTTTAGAGCCCCCAATAATCTTCCCCTGACCTGCAGCTCACTCAAGACACATTCTCTACTACAAAGACCCACAGCGACTTTCACTCCTGAGGTCACCCCGCCCTCCTGTGGGCAGCTGTGCTGGCTCTTACCATGATCTTATCAATATCCTTCCTGCCAGGCAGGACAGCCACTGGCCTACAGAGCCCTGCTGTACCTTAAACGGCCGACAGCTACTACTCTCTCCCTCCTCACCCATGTGGAGCCCTGACCCCCTCCTGTGGGGCTCAGTGAGATGACAAATCCACTGCTCGATTTACATGCTTGTTTGGCAGGGGGCCAGTGGCCTGCTGGCCTCGGGCATCTGTGGGTCTAGTGTCCACCATTACTTTGTTAAGATGAGCAGTCTTCACATGAGATCCCCAGGAAGTGAGGTTCCCCCCACCCCAGGGGGCAGCTCAGTTCATCCTAAAGACTAGGGAGGGGCTTCAAAAGGTCCCGGGGTGGAGACATCATGGCAACAGGTTCGCACACAACCCCTGGCTCCCTCTGATGCTGAAACGTCATCAAGAGCAGAGCACAGACGCAAAGGTGGCCTCTCAGTAGGAGGTGGGCCAGCTGCATTCTTAGAGAGGTCAGCCTCCGCTCAGGGTCTGAATTTACACTCAATGGTTTATTGGTAAATTGTGTCAGCAGATGTCAACACCCGGCAACAAATGCAGGTGTCTTTGAGGGAGAAAATGAAACACAAAATTGTCTGCATAAGGGCTGGGACTGAAGCCAGTGCACAAGAGGCCTCTCACAGGCCCTATAAACCTCAGGGGTGAGGCCCAGAAACCCAGGGCAGGGTCTCTGAAAAGGCAGCTTTGGCCCTGGCTGTAGCTGCGGTGCCCATTCGACACTAGGATATCCTGGAGCAGCAGGGAAGGCTGCTCCATTGATGCCTTTTAAACACAGAGGCTGCTTCAAATGAGGGAGGCCTCTGGCATCTTAAAAAGTGCCAGGAGACCGACGGGGCGTAGGAATGCCCTGGCCACCTTTCGAAGGGGCTGGTCCTATTATCTGTCCCCCTCGGTGTCCTGTTAGGGACTGCTGAGCAGCACAACAGTCCTCAAGTGCGTCAGGGCCACCATGTCCTTCTAGATTCACATCATCTTAGTTGTCATTGTGGCCACCGTGGATGAGGCAGCACCCTACGCAGGCCCTGCACTAGGCACCGGGCCACACGATCTCGTGTGGTCCCAAGGACCCCAGCAGGTAGGTGACGTGACTCTCATCTTAGGAGACCTTACTACTGTCCTAGCAACTGAGTCCTGGGTGGCTCTGCAGTCATTTAAAAAAGTAAAAACTATAAGTGAAATCTAAGAAACAGTATTAATCAGAAAGAAAAGTCATAAACAAAACAGCTAAAAAGTAATTTTTGTTAAATAATGAACACTCGGGAAACAGCAGCGAAACGGTTTAAAAATGTCTGATTATTTCTCAGCATTCATCTGATAACGTAAGCAGCATGAAGCAATTGTTGCACTTTTAAAAAATGACAAGAAAATAGCTATTCATTTAGTCAATGGAGAATGTTCATCTCCTGCTAAGATCACTAGTGCCACTGGGTGTCACCAAGGTGAGTGCCAACGCTTGTCCTTTCGCTGAGATGGTGTCCACAGCTCCTTCACCTTGAATTCCAGGAGTAAACCTTGGTGTCCCTCTGGGAGGAGTCTTGGGACAGACTGTGGCCTGCTCCCCTCTCCCCCCAGACCAATGAGGCCCAAGATTGCAGATTGCTGTGTGGTGACTGCAAAGTTTGGGCATGTTCCAAGGGAGGTTGGATGACCCTAGGCCGGGGAGTGGAGGGAATGAAAGACTGAGCCTGGGGACAGGTTCCACACTATTCTGACTGCACTCAGGGCTGGACCCACCGAAGACCAGTGACAATGGGGTTCCTGCCAGAAGTTCTGTCTGTCTTTCTGCTCAGCCCTGTTTTCTTTCCATAGGGAAGGTACACGGGCAGGGAGAATGACAGAGGAGTCAAGCAGGGCAACAGACGGAAGAGTGACACGTCCCCACCTTCCGTCTATTGCACCATAGTCCATAAAAAATAAACACATTTTTACTGTTTGTGTATTGCTAATGCTATGGCTTTCCAGGCACTGGCAGGCGGCAGAGAGAGCTGCACTGCCACTAATCCAGCAGAATCCATCCAGAGACAGCCTCAAGGGTAAGGATCTTTGGAGCTTCCAGTTGGAAGGGTTAGCAGTGCCCATCTGTCTTGTGTTTTACAGTGTTGTGAAAATAAAATTAAAGGGTAAAATGAAAGAAATCTCCACGGGCAGAAAGTGTCAAGGTGTTATCGAGTCGTTTGGCAATAAATTATACTCTACAGCATCACACAGGTGTTCCTCCCTCGCTCGCCCTGCGTGCTCTGCGTCTGCACGAAGCTGGCCCAAGTTGTTCCCCTTGTGCCAGAGGAGCTCACAGGTGACTGTTCTTGGAGAGGTAGGCAATGAGGGCCACGGCCACGCCCACGTAGATGCCGGTCCCGATCGTGATGGAGAGCACAGCCAGGAACAGGGCCCGCCGGGAGCTGGTGCTGGCCTGGTGGAAGTCCCCCTTGGCCACGGCTTTATTGGTCTGCGGAGTTGAAAAGAACGGAGGGAGAAGCAAAAGGAGGTCAAGGCGAGGCGGTCAGAACAAAGGAAGAGAGGGCATGGCTCACTCCTGGCTCCCTCCAGCCTTGGAGCTAACTGACCCAGGGAGAGGGGACTCGCCAGGGGGAGCCGAGCCTGCTCCCCTGATGACAGCCATTCCCTCTGGCTGGCAAGGAAGGGATGGGGACTGCTGGTCATTACTGCTTGCGTCTCCACGGCAAGGCACTCAAAGTGTGGGAGAAAAAAAGAGCCTCACGCCAACACCCCCGGTCAGCAGTAGCCCACCTGAGCACCACCGATGTGGGGCCCGGGGTCTCGGGCACCAGCATGCCAGGGGTGGACTAGATACCACACCCCCAGTGCCCCGCTTTCTACCCGATGATGCCATTTCCTTTTATTTGAATAACACTAAGTTTTCTAAAGTATGTTCCCACTTACCTTATGCAATCTTTGCAGCATGGTAGGAGTGCGGGAAAGGATATTATGGTTCTCATTTCCCAGAGAAGACACTGCGGTATGATATTGTTAAAATGACCGCAGGATACTTGAGACTCTACTCTTCAGCTGGTGGCCCTGGGGTCATGCTTTCCTCATCGTCTCCCTCCCTCTCACAGCTAGAGTTGGTACAATTCACCCTTCAATACAGTGGTTTGGCGTAAGATCAATATCTAGATATGTGGTTGCCCAGTTACATAACACGGTGATGGTTTAAGAAGATTCATGTTTCTTATGGCCACGAGGTGGCAGGAACATGGAGGTTTTGGATGTTGCTTCTGATCTGGTATTTTTCGGTAGATGCATGCATCCACTCCTTCCTGCCTGAAGGACGGTTTCTGGCCTGATCTCGTTTCCACATGTCACCAGTGGTATTTCTGCAGTGTGTAGGCAGGTATAGGAGTCAGTGTATTTTTCACTCAAACTAAAAATACCAAGGCCTTTGCAATGGACCACAAAGGGTGAAATCCGAGAGGACTCAGAAAACGAAGTTCTGCTGTCTTGTGGTCCTGACACGATCTGATGAGGTCTGGAGCCCTGTGTCAGGTTGAGAAGGGGTTTGAGTCTGCTTCATGGCCACCCCCCTCTTTTCCCTAATTTTTGGATCTTGAAGGCCAGTTTTTATGTCTTCCTCCCTTTATTTTTTGGCTTGGAAGTGAGCTTGGGATCTAACTACCAACTATTTCTAATGAAGCAGGGCCAAGGAAATGCACAATGGGAAGCCTCCTAGGACAGTAGTAATTAAGTCTTAATTAGCTGAGTTTCATTTTCTAGCAGCACTCCTGCGCTCCAAGGTCCTGGAACATAATTCACTGTAACTGCCCATCTTCAGCCAAGCAGCCATCCTCCATGAGAACATCATTTGCTGCTATCTCTCTCATTAGCACCGTCCTTGTCACCACCCAACCGAGGCTCTGCTGCAGGAGCAATACATACAGAGAGGAAGGCAAGGTGGACACTCTGCATTCCTTACCCCCGGACGCAGGCCCCTGCAGGGAATTTCTGTCTCAGAAGACTACCCCATCAGAGTTCATGCATTTAGTAGTGTCCCCCCAGCCTTTTTCTGTTCCACTGATCTACATGCCTGTTCTTATGCCAGTCCCAGGCTGTTTTGATTACAATGGCCTTGCAGGATAGTTTGATATCAGGTAGTGTAATACCTCCAAATTTGTTCTTCTTTCTCAAGTTTGCTGCGGCTATTCAGGGTCTTTTTTTGTTCCATATACATTTTTTGGAATATTTGTTCTAGATCTGTGAAATATGCCATTGGTATTTTTATAGGAATTGTGTTGAATCTATAGATTGCTTTGTTTGTGTAGTGTGGACATTTTAATGATGTGAATTCTTCCAAACCATGAACATGGTATATGCTTCCACTTACTTGTATCTTCCTCAATTTCTTCATTCAACGTCCATCCTATAATTTTCCGAGTACAGGTCTTTTACCTCCTTGGTTATATTTATTCCTAGGCACGTTATATTTTTTGCTGCAATAGTAAATGGGATTGTTCTCTTAGATTCTCTTTCTAAGCTAAGTGCTGTATCTCCTTCAGTAGCTCGCATTCCAAAGGCAGGTAGCCTACAGAGACCTTTCTCTCAGCACTGCTGCTGTCACTGTGAAGGCAGAACCACAGGGCCAGCGCAGTGACTGGAGGGTGGCACCATCCAGCCTCCAACCCAGTCTGCAACCCCATTCATGCCTTGAATGTGGCAGGCGAATGCTTGTTCCCTCTTTGGGAGGGGACCTCCCTTGTGGCCGGATACTCCTCTACCCCACATTTTGCCCACAGGTCACCAGTGAATTGTGTTACTTTCTTTTGGGGGCCTTTTGCTCAGAAAACTTAAAAAAAGAGGAAGGTGGCTGGCTAAGTCCTGAGCAGCACCCAGCTACAACTTCTGTGTGCCAGTGGGGGCTCGGTGGGACTCAGAGAGCAGTGACTTCCACTCTCATGAAGTCTTCTTTGAGTAAGAGTCAAAGGGGAAGGAGAGAGCCTTAGCACAGAGCTTAAGATGAGAACACAGGAAGCAGGAGTCAGAACCCAAGAAACACTTGGGCTCCAGGAGGCTCACTGTGGGCAGGGCTCAGACCCAGCCCAGACAGAAGAAATCTTTTAAACTCACACCCAGCAGGTGCTGAGCTCATGCACAGCCCACTGGAACGTTTCACGTCAAAACACTGAATGTGCACTCTGGTTCTTTAGTTATATAACTACCTTCACTTACCTAGTTGTAAAGATACACAGAAACCCTGACTTTTAAATTGAAGAGAGAAAGTAAAACATTAGTGCTAAAGCTCATGAAAACAACTGACTTCCTCTCCCTGAGAAATATGAACTGAGGAAATGAAAATCATATAAACAGAGCATACAACAAGGACAAACATTCTTCGTCTAATATTTCTACCACCAGAACTGTGATGCACTGGATAAAATAGTGAAGTCAGTCACCATGTACACCTCTGGTCATGCCTCCCGAGGCTGGGACAGCCACCAGAACAAACCACCGTGCCAGAGGAGCGTGCTATCAGGAGGCAGAATGCTCCTTATATGTGTTTAAAGCTCATTTTGCTCAGGTTTTCATAATGAGAAATTACCAGTGTGTAGCGTAATGAAGTCAAATTTGCATTCCTCGGACAGGACTTTTTAGTTCTTATACTGTATTTACCCACAGGTACATCTGGTGGTTACAGAACCTATGATTGGTAACATTTAGGGGGTGGTTTCATTGCAAAATTGGCACCTTCTTGTGGTCTGTGACCCGATTCCAGGCCCTGCTTTCTTCTGATGCTTCCGGCATGTCCAGGTCTTGCCTACAGGGATTCGCCAGGCTGTCTTCACCCACTTCCCATTCTATCTCCCTTCTCCTGCCCACCTGAGGTCCCAGGCTTACCTAAAAGACTTATCTTGGTGTTTATTGGCATGCCAAAGCCCCTGCATAGAGGCCAGATACCAGTTCATGCCTGGAGAACCTAAGAGGCAGAGGTGGGCAGACCAGCAATGTCAGGGTCCAAACCAAGAGGAGTGGGGACAGGACAGGCGCTCCCCACGGGTCAGGGAAAGGAGGCTGGATGTTTTCCAGGGTTCAGGTGTGGGCTGCCATGAAGACTGCTCTGTGGGGACAGGACAGGCGCTCCCCATGGGTCAGGGAAAGGAGGCTGGATGTTTTCCAGGGTTCAGGTGTGGGCTGCCATGAAGACTGCTCTGTGGGGACAGGACAGGCGCTCCCCATGGGTCAGGGAAAGGAGGCTGGATGTTTTCCAGGGTTCAGGTGTGGGCTGCCATGAAGACTGCTCTGTGGGGACAGGACAGGCGCTCCCCATGGGTCAGGGAAAGGAGGCTGGATGTTTTCCAGGGTTCAGATGTGGGCTGCCATGAAGAATGTCTTAGATCCTGTTCCACGAAGCCCCACTGAGGGACAAGCGGACCTCTTCAGAAAATGCTGATGGAAAATGCACGGCCTCGTATCAAGCAAACTGAAGTTGATGATGCAGAATGTGTGTGGGGGTGTCTGCAAAGCACCCACCAAAATGTCCAGATGAGAAATCAAGTTGTGCACGCTTTGGAGGCCCAGAGGGCGTGAGACCTCATATGACAATCCAAGTTAGGTGAGGCCTCTATCTCCTATCTGTCGCTGCTCACCATGCCTCCCTCCAAGATGGCAGACACCATGGACGGCAAGCTGGGAGGAGGGGAGGGGGAGAGACCATGCCCCTCCTTCCCAGTGTGCAGGCATGCCACTGCCAGCTACATTTTCAAAGAACGATGCTCTATCCAACCCCCGGAGTGACTCAAATGGAAAAGAGAACCAGTACAAAATGTTGGCAACAACGCGGAAAAACTAAAATGGTCATACCCTCCCGGTGAGAGTGTAAATATTTTTATGGACCACCCCCACCTTCTCCTTTTTAGCAACTCTTCTAATTCAAGCCAGTAAAAATCAAATCTGTTGTTAGTTATGTCTGAACAGCAGAAAGGATATCGTTCATGAAACAAATGCACCAACTGTGTCTGAGTAACTAACTCAGCTGTGTTTGTGTAGGGACAGAGCCACCCCACCTGTCCCTGGTTTGGATCCCTGCACTTGGGGGGAGGGGACTTCCTACAGAGATGTCTTCAGGTTCCTTTCATCGAGGTTCCCCATTCTGTGGATCTTATTTTACAGGGACCACAATCTCAACGTAAACATAAGTGGAACAACAGCTGCTGTGCCAGGCCCATGCTGGATGCCTGAGCTACTATTATCTCTCCATTCTCCACGTGAGATCAGAGAAACCTCAAAGCCTTGGAGCCGCTCAGCTTGTGAGTGGCCTTCCCAATGGCCTTTCTCCCTGCAGCCGGGCCCTAAGCAGTGTCATGCTCTTGCACTCTCTCACATGCTAACCTCTGGCCCCATCCAGAGAGAAGCCTGCCTTCGTTTCCCCACACACTCAGGTTTTCTTTACTGTGAGAGGAGGGCTGGGAGGCTGGGACTCCTCTAGTGAGGGCACAG